TAATCAATAAACTACATTATTATGGAATAAGGGGAGGCACTCTCCACTGGATCAAAATATAAAGCATACACATCACTAGTTAGACCGAAGTTAGAGTACGCAGCCACAATCTGGGCACTCTCCACTGGATCAAAATATACAGCATACACATCACTAGTTAGACCGAAGTTAGAGTACGCAGCCACAATCTGGGATCCCCAGAGACGCCATCACGCACAGTCCAACATGCTAGAAGAAAAACTGGAGAGCATACAGAAGAGAGCAGCTAGATACGTGTGCAACGACTATTTATACACCACTAGTGTCACTCAACTACAAAACAACCTAGGCTGGCCGACACTCAAAAACAGAAGAACACATGGACGAGAGGTTGGAATCATCAAGCGACCCGTACGCATTGCTTCTGTTTCTCTGATTATTTTTCATGATTTTAAACTGTAGCAGTGTTTGTAGGCAAAAATTACCGTGAAATGTTTTGGTGTGTACAAGTACCACTTAGTTCAAAGCCGGCAAATTTGTTAAGTCGTTAATGATTTCCAAATGTTGATGTTTATGACGAAGAATTCGTTCCACAGAACATATGCAGTATGATGTATTCTTCATTTGAATTTTTCTGAGCAGAGTTCAATTTTTCGTTGTGCCCACGTATGTAGTAGGGCCCGGTTTAAAACGTGCGTCGTTTTAAGATATGTTGCGGGCGTGTACTTGTCTTCTGTGAATAATGTTCTGTATTAACATTTGTGGCGTGGGGTGGCGTCTTCGATCCCGAGTTGTACCCGGGACATGTCTGGACATGCGCCCCGACATTGTGCCCTTGGGAAAGTCACTTCGAACAGTAAAAACCATCCATTTATTAATAGCGTGTATGAAGCCTCTTAAAAATAACCACTCCAATTTCTTACAGTATGGACACGTTCCCGCCACTCCTGGCGAATTACTGGCCAACTGTCGGTATGTTGAAAGTATTCTTCCTCAAGAACCCTTCGGTTGGCATGTAGTCTCAACTAGAATTCTTTTGCGGGCTGAATAAATCGTAAAAATCTGCCTTGAAAGAGTATCAATTGGCGAAAGTTTCTTTCGTTCCATAATATTTTTTTGTCTTTTTTTTTCACGTGGGCCAGCTGCAGGTTTCAGTGTAGGGAGCGGGAGTGGAGGAGCTGGTAAGTTTTAATGTTCATGTCACATTTGTACGCGTATGGTGCAGGACCGTATTGTTGGCGTGAAGTGTTATATTCGGAGATATGATATTGGAGATAATGGAGCATTCAATCCTTGATTCATTCATGCACCCATTGTTTGTTCGTTCCTTCATTCATTCAGGAC